TATGAAATGACAAGCTTGCTCACTCTTACATTTTTTGTTGCTGAAATAAAATACCTGACACCCAAAGCTAAAAGAGGAAAAGTTTATTTTAGCTCACAGGTTGTACAAGTTTCAGTCCGTAGTCAGCTGGCTCCAAGGCAGATGGGCATGGCAGGGTGGCATCACAGAGGAGAAAGTTCACGGCAGGCAGAAGGCATCATCAAAGCAGCAAAATAGTGAGGAAGCAAGCAATTAGGGAAAAGTAGTGGCCCTCTTTCTGTCCTTTATATTTTATTCAGGCTACCCTCCCTTAATGCTGGTAGCACTCACACCCTTAATCCTAGCATCTCACTGTGTGTCAGTCCAGCATCACACACCCTAGATCCAGCCACCTTGGTAAAGCCCCACCTGTGACCACATGAGGCTTTGGGGGCATCCAGATACAGCCAGGACACATAGTGAGAAAAGTGACAACAGCCTGAAGCTTGGAAACCTGGTAACATCAGTCAGCCTCTCCCTGAGGAGAAAATACCAGTCTAAGTCCTGTGCTAAGTGCTGAGGTACACTCGTAGCTAAGTGCTTGCAGCCCTCACAACTACTGCTCTAGGACATCTGGGTCTGGCCCAGCTGAGTTCACGTTCCAGTGGGATGGCTGGGCTACTTGGCCACACAGCTTGCACAGGTGTCTTCCCAGGGGTGGCTTTACAAGGGCCATGGTTTTTTTAGGGTTTTATTTTTTTTTATTTTAAAGAGTAAAAGAAGGACAACATAGTGATGGGGGGGGGCGCTTACCAAGTTACAAAGTGGTAGGAAATTATCAATGGTTATTGTTTTGCATATTGTTATCTGCAAGATAGCTTCTCAGGAAAACATAGACAAATAGTAGTGAGTTACAGACAAAAGAGGTAGGAGATTATCAATAGTTGTACTATACTTTGGTATCTTCAAAATGGCTTCTAAAGAAAATAAATAGAGCTATACATGAGTGACCAATTGAATAATCATTAACTATTCTCAATGGTTGTTGTTGGAAACACATAGTAATAAACATACATCCATTTACGAAATAGCATAGGAGCAATACAAACATTACAGAGTTATGGACAGATTAGTAGGAAAATATCAATGGGTGCTGTAATACATGGTGCTATCTTCAAAGTGGTTTGTCAGGAAGACAGATATGCAAGAAGGATCTAACAAGTAGTTACAGCCTAAGGGTTGTCAAAAATAGTGGATTACCTCCTCACCAGTGACTCCTTTCACTGAGGTGTGACAGCTGGAAGGAAGGCCAGGATTGAAAAGAAGGACCAAGAGACTAGCACCTGGGTTTAGCCACAGGCTCTTTTCTTTTTCCTCCACAGTCATGATTACCCAGGGCTCCTCCATGGAGATGACAGTCTGGCCAGAGGGAGAAGGCAGAGTATGCCCTGGGCCCCCTCATTCCTATTGGACTAACTGGTAGGCTGGGTCTGAGCTCTGGGGCCTCCATGTCAGAGGGCAGACCCATCTCCAGTGGTCACTTTTGCATTCAGGGCATGGCCCAGGGGGCTTCTTAGGGCGGTTCCTCTTGAGGTGGTCTGGCTTTTAACAGTGATAGCAGATGAATGCAGTCGTGGAGTTCTTCTTGGGGCCCCGGGAATCAGACTTAGGATCTGTTTCTCTTAGTGCTGCAGCAAAAGCAGCTGGTTTTTCTTAGTCTCTTTGTTTTCTCTCCTTGGCCACCTCCTCATCACGGCTATAGAATACTGAGGAGGCAATTCTTACTAACATCTCAAGTGAGCCATCTGGGATGAAAGCTATTTTTTGTAGCTTTTTCTCTCCAGCCTCCCATTGCATTGGGACCCCACAACCAATGAGTGTCCTCTCCCCAACCATCAGGAATCTCGATGCAGACCTCTCCGGAGCTCCATGCGCTCCTCCACTGCAGCCTGTACTGTCGGGAAGAATGGATTCCAGGGTGTCTCCCCAGGTATTCCCCAAGGTCCTCCTGTTTTACAGCTTCCAAATGGCTCTCGTGATGCCAGTCCACTAGACCTCTGACTCTTCAGGCTTAGGCTGTATTTTCATGTTCTCTGAGTCCTTGTTAAGACGCTGCTTCTCCGCTGACTCTGGACCTTTCTGGTTTTCAATGGCAGGAGCGAGAGCGCCCCATTCTGTGGCATGTATTCCCTGGGGTTTCTCCATGTTGGAATGATTCATGCACGTCTGTGGGCGGGCCTCTGCAGCCAGTGTGTGGTGGACCAATTGTATCGTTTCTCTGTACCACGATAATTCTCAATTGCGTGGTGGTGGCTGGTAGCGCACGTGCTGCCACACAGCTTCCCAGGCACTGGGAGCCCACCTCCTGGGTGCCTGTGTGGCTGGGGGCCAGCCCAAAGGGCGGCGCACCCCGCCGCAGGGCTTCCTGGGTGCCAGGGGAAGGCCCGGGATTTTTATGCATCGCTTCATGGAAGGATATATCCTTAGAGATTTGTCATTAGATGATCTCATCATTTTGTGCCAACATCAGAGTGCACTTAGTTCAAGACGGGTATGATGTCATTATCCATCTTGTACTCTTTTTGTTTATTGTTATTTTAATTTGTTTTTTGGTTTTTTTTTTTCCCCTGGTACGGGGAATTGAACTCACGACATTGTGCTTGCTAGGCAGGCGCTGTGCCGCTGAGCTAAATCCCCAGCCAAGATTTGTTTTGTTTTGAGACAGGGTCTGACTATGTAGTTCAGGGTGATTTTGAGCTAACGGCCCAGGCTGGCCTCAAACTAATAGTGATCGTCCTGCCTCAGCCTCCTGTATATTGGTATGACAGGCGTGCACCACCATGCCCACCTCCATCCTGTACCCTTACGGGATCTCTCACTGCCCATCATGGACTGAAGCGTTTATCTGTGTTTGTGTTGGCCAGCTTTCTACTTCTGTAACAAATGCTTGAGAATAACTTAAGAAGAGGAGAGATTGATTTTGGCTCATATTTTCAGAGGTTTCTGTTCGTGGTCAGCTGGCTTCATCGTTTCTGGGCAGAGATGTGTCTGTGTGAGGCCCTGGGTTCAGTTCCCGGTCAGAACACACACACACACACACATACACACACACGGTGGAGACACACACACACATGGTGGAGACATACACACACACGGAGAGAGCC